CTTGGACCCAGGAGGCAGAGGCTGCAGTGAGCCAAGATCGCACCACCGCACTCCAGCCTGGGCGACAAGAGTGAAACTCTGTTTCAAAAAAAAAAAAGAAAGAGCAAGCCTGGGTTCCTTCACTTATTGTTGAATTTCCCTAAACAGACTTATTTTTGCCTTCTGATGAACTCTTGCTTATCAGTTTAAGCCACTGTAGCAGCATTTTCTGCTGCTTGCAGTTGGACACAATCCTAACTGATAACACCAGCTACGGCTAAATTGTTAGACTTAGCAGAGTTCATCAAGTCAGGGTGGTTCTGCATTCAAAATCCAGTCACTCCTCACACTGCACAGAGCCGGTGCCCTGACAGAGCACACCATGCTTATCTGAGCACTGCAGCGGCTTCCTAACTGACTTCCGCTTCTGCCCACGTTCCCCTTCACTCTGTGGTCAGCCAGAGTCACCTAAGAATGAAATTTAGATCATGCTGCTCCTCTGACCTAATCCTCCAGTGACATCCCATCTCACTCACATAAATGCCAATATCTTTACTCCATCTACAAGGCAAGTAGTATTGGTCAGATATGGCCCCCCCTTGACCTCTTGGACTTTATCTCTTACTACAAATGTCCCCCTCACTCAATTCACCCAGCTAAAATGACATCCTTGCTGTTCCTCAAACAGGAAGACTGTGGACCTGTTCCTCCTATCTGGAATATCCCTACTCCATACACCCTTACACAAGACTCTTAACTTGCTTGAGGTCTTTACTCAAAAGCTTTCGTCTGGCCAGGCGTGGTGGCTCACACCTGTAAGTCCCAACATACTGGGAGGCTGAGGCGGGAGGATCACTTGAGCCCAGGAGTTCAAGGCTGAAGTGAGCTAGGATCATGATACTTCATTCCAGTCTGGGTTAAAGAGCAAGACCCTGCCTCCTCCAAAAAAAAGATGTCATCTCAATGGACCTTCCCTGAACACCCTATTTAAAATGTCAACACTGGCCAGGCGCAATGGCTCATGCCTGTAACCCCAGCACTTTGGGAGGTTGAGACAGGCAGATCACATGAGGCCAGGAGTTCGAGACCAGCCTGGCCATCATGGCGAAACCCTGTCTCTACTAAAAATACAAAAATTACCCGGGCATGGTGGTGCATGTCTGTAATCCCAGGTACTCAGGAGGAGGCTGAGGCAGGAGAATCGCTTGAACCCAGGATGCAGAGGTTGCAGTGAGCTGAGATCACACTAGTGCACTCCAGCCTGGCAGAAAGAGCAAGACTGTCTCAAAAAATAAAACAAAAATAAAATGTCAACACCAACACTTAATGCTACAGCTCTTTTGGAATTTGTCTAGCAGGCTTTCTGGGTTTTGCTGGAAAGCCCTTAAAAAAAAAAAAACTTTAAAAATAAGTCAACACTTGATTAACCCTGACATTTCCCAATCCCCTTCCCTGCTTTGAAGTTCCTCCTCCACTATTAACATACTGTATACTTTACTTATCTAACTGGCTTATTGTCTGCGTCCCTCATTAGAATGAAAGTTTCATGAGGGCAGAACTTTGTCTGCTCACTCCTGAGCCCTGCACCTAGAACACTGCCAGGCATACAGTGCATGTTTAGTAAGTATTTACTGATGAATGAATAAACTCAGGGAAACACCAGATAGGAATCTGAAGGAGAGTAAGTGCCAAAAGCACTATCAATTGCCCCTCATTACTGTGAGGACCCTCCCAAGCACACTAGACTTGCTGAGATTGCAGCCAGCACCCCACACGGAACTCCTGCATCCAATATCCTGAGCAGAGCACATACACTCATATTTAAACTGAAGCCCATGCATGGCGTGACACCGCAGTTCCACACAAAAGATCAAGAGCCATACCCGCTGTATATACCACTTATTATATTTGCTTTTTTTGAGATGGAGTTTCGCTCTTATTGCCCAGGCTGGAGTGCGATGGTGCGATCTCGGCTCACTGCAATCTCCACCTCTCGGGTTCGAGTGATTCTCCTGCCTCAGCCTCCTGAGTAGCTGGGATTATAGGCATATGCCACCATGCCCAGCTAATTTTGTATTTTTAGTAGAGATGGGGCTTCTCCATATCAATCAGGCTGGTCTCCAACTCCCAAACTCAGGTGATCCGCCCGCCTCAGCCTCCCAAAGTGCTGCAATTACAGGAGTGAGCCACTGCGCCCGGCCAGAACAGATACTTTCTAAATTGCTTTAGTCAGTCTTACTTTGGGAAGAGGATTTTTTGGCTGAAGCATGTGAACAGAAATACCAAAATCCAAACTTTGTGAGCAGTGTTTATTGCTCAAAATTAGTGAATACCTCCTTTTGCAATAGCAAAATACATAGAAATATGACAAATATGCATTTTATTTAAAAATAACTATAATTAAGCCTAATGCAGTTGATTTCAGAGCATGCTAAGAACCTTTAAAAATCGTTATTCTAGCCAGGCGCAGTGGCTTACTCCAGTAATTCCAGCACTTTGGAAGGCTGAGAGTCAGGAGTTCAAGACCATCCTGGTCAATGTGGTAAAACCCCATTTCTACTAAAAATACAAAAATTAGCTGGGCGTGACAGTGGGCACCTGTAATCCCAGCTACTCGGTAGGGGAGGCTGAGGCAGGAGAATCATTTGAACCCAGGAGGTGGAGTTTGCAGTGAGCCAAGACCATACCACTGCGCTCCAGCCTAGGTGACAGTGCAAGACATCTCAAAAGTAAATAAATAAAAAGTTGTTATTCTAAACTACTTTTGTTTTAACATCATTTTAAATCTATCTTACAATATGCACAGATTATACATGAGGAACTGTAATAGTGCTTGCTCTTGGGGACAAAGTTAGGTACTCAGAGGAAAGGGATGGAAGGAAGATATCTTAATTATTGCCTTTTTGCAATTACAGAATTTGTGTCAATGTATTACTTATGCAAAAATAATAGCTTAATTTTTTTTTTTTTTTTCTGAGACAAAGTCTCACTCTGTTGCCCAAGCAAGAATGCAGTGGCTCGATCTCAGCTCACTGCAGCCTTTGCCTCCGGGGTTCCAGAGATTTTTCTGCCTCAGCCTCCCAGGTAGCTGGGATTACAGGCAAGCACTACCATACCCAGCTAATTTTTGTATTTTGAGTAGAGATGGGGTTTCACCACATTAGCCAGGCTGGTCTCAAACTCCTGACCTCAGGTGATTCGCTGGCCTCGACCTCCCAAAGTGGTGGGATTACAGGCATTAGCCACCTCGCCAGGCCTGATTAAATTTTTTAAATAAGGTAATCACATATTACCTTAAAATAAAGTAATGAAACAAAATCTATTTCCTTTGTCAAGGCAGCAAAGAAATTTCCTGATACCCATATTTTGAAGATAAGCAAATGCAGGTTGTGCCAAATCAGCATAAGAAAGAGAAAGCATATTTTTAGAATGATCAAGTGTCTGAAGCAGCCCAGCTGAAAGGTCTTCCTTCCCTTCCCACCAAGAGCCCTCCCTGTTTAGTGTTTACACAAGATACATGCAACGTGTGAACCTCCATGACACCTACCTCTTTGAAAGGCACTATGGTAAATTTCTGGAAGGATGAGAAATTCCTTACTAAAGAGGTAAGTCAAATTGTTTAAAAATTTCTCGAAATATCCAAACAAGTTTTTCATCCTTTAGAAGAATATTCCTAAATTTTATCCTAACAAATAAGCTAGCGCTGCTCTCCAAATCCTCATTTTCTAACTAAACTTTCAAGACAAGACAAGGATCTTAACAGAAACAAAGAACAAGAAACATTACTAACAATCAGTCTTAATAGAGATATTCTTATCACATGCCATCTGGTACACATCCAGATCGGAAACGGAATACTGAGAGGTAAGAGAAAGGCCTGAACTGCAGCAGAGTATTTCCTAACTCCTGCTGAACACTCACCACAGGGCTTCCAGGGAAAGTCCTGGGGTTCCACTAGATGTTTTAAAGGTCTTTTTCTGTTTCAAAAATTATCCCCAAGCAACAGAAACCCCTAGCTTCCAAAAAGTAACAAGCTGTCGGCAATGAAGCAAACAGAAGCCCTTTTGCTGGCACATCTGAGGTGTCCGTGGAGTCTGCAGACCCCCCCATATTCTGGCAAGCTTGACTGCAATACTGGCAAAATGTAAACCTCATTCATCCCTCGGCAATTAACCTCCCCCTCAGCAACGTGTTGGTTTTATTCCCAACACAAATAGGCAATAAACTTTAATCAACTATTCCTGATATTTAAGATAATTTTATTAATCACCAAGTAAGTTCGCCACTTACTTGGCAACCACAACTCATTCAAATGCATGCAGACCAACTTGCGCTTAGATGAGCAGGTCTCTTAAGTGGTGCTTAAAATCGGGTTACTACCACCGCGATTATGAACTAAATGAAATGCCATGAGAATGTAGGAAGAGCCTCAAATCTCAGGCTGCTTTAAGTGCCACTTGGAAAAGAAATCTCCCATTGGACGCGCCCTCACTCCCCGCCCCCAGAGCCACTCCCGCCGAGACGTCCTAAAAGCATTATGTCATCCACTACCCCCACATTTCTCCAGCTCCAAACCCCGGCTCCTCTCGATGTGTCCCGCGCCCCCAGCCGTCTTCCCTCTCAGACTAGAAGAGGGAAGTGGCCCAAAGCACATCTCGGCTCTTCCAAGTTCTCTTCAAATCAAAAGAAACAAGTTATCTCCCCAACTCTTCGCATCCTGGGAAGGGCGAGAGGGCTGAAACCATGACTCCCCTCGGTGAATTCAGGACAGGCTCCCACGAGGCTCTGCCTCTCCTCGCGGGAGAACGAGAGAAGACCCAAGTGCAGGACCCGGGCTCAAGAGGGGGGAGGGTCTCGCCGCAGGACGGAGCGGGTGTCCCTACGGGTTTGGGGCTGCTGGGTCACCCTGGCGCCGCGGGGCCGGGGTTCGCGTCGCCGGCCTGCAGGCTGCAGGGCTGTCGCCACCCCAGCCATCATTGGGGATCCGCCGGGACAGGGAGCTGCAGCGGGCCCAAACTCACGGTCGGTGCAGCGGCTCCTCAGCCACAGCCGGGCCGGGCGGCGGTGGGAGCGGCGGCGGGGGCGGCTGCGGCTGAGGCAGCAGAGGCTGTGCCTGCGGCGGCGGCTGAGGAAGCTGAGGAGGCGGCGGCGGCGGCGGCGGCGGCGGTGGCGGCGGCTGTTGCTGCTGCTGCTGCTGCTGCTGCTGCTGGAAGGACTTGAGGGACTCAAAGGCCTTCATCAGCTTTTCCAGGGTCGCCATGGCGGTCTCTCCCCCGGCAGGGCAGTCCCCGAAGGCCTCGGGCCGGCTCGCGGCGCTGCTCAGCACCCGGGCAATGAATGGGGCTCTGGGCCGCGGGTAGAAGCGGAACCGAAGCGGCCGTCCATATTGGACCCGTCCCGGCAAACCCCGCGGCCCCCTGCGTCCCACGACGCTGCGCCGGCGGAGGCGGGGCCACGCAGGCCGACATTATTGACAGCTCCAGGCTGCGGACTCTGCCAATGGCTGGCCAGGACGCCAGCCCGCCTCCTCGCCCACAGTTTCGGCCTCACAGAGCCACCAAGGCCGCTGACAGCGCAGCGCCGCACCCCGGCGAAGGTGCAGGGCTCAGCGGAGAAGGGGCGGGGTGGGGCGGGGCGAGACTCACGGGGTGGGGCGGGGCGAGACTTATGGGGTGGGGCGAAGCTGTGAAGGGGCGGGGAGAGGAGGGACGAGGCAGGGACGGGGCGGGACTACATGGTGAGTGGGCAGGGGAGGAGCGTGGCGAGGAGAGGGCGGGGCACAGCAGGCAGGGCGGCTGAGGGGCAGGGCGGGGCATGTAGAGGCTGGGGGCGGGGCGAGGCTATGGGGGGTGAGGATATTAGGCAGAGCGGCTGAGGGGCGGGGCGGGGCATGTCGAGGCTGGAGGCGGGGCAAGGTTGGGATGGGTATATTAGGCAAGACGGCTGAGGGGCGGGGAGGGGTGGCTGAGGGGCGGGACGGGGCGGGGCGAGATGCTGAGAGGCGGGGCGGGGCGGCTGAGGAGTGGGGCGGGGCGAGACGATGAGAGGCGGGGTGGATGGGGAGGGGGCGGGCCGGTGGGGGGCGGGACGCCTGGGGGCGGAGCAGGAAGGTGAGAGGCGGGGCGCGGCGGGGCGGATGGCGAGTGGAGCGCGGGGAGTCGGCCGAGGCAGAAGAGACCTCGCCGCCGACTCCTGGAGCTGGGCGAGAGCCTGCTGTGGGCTCTCAGGCAAGGCCGCCGCGGGGCTTACCCGCCCGCCACGCTGACCTGCGGCCAGAGCCAGGCTCACCTGGATAGCTCCGCGGGGAGCCTGCTGGGGGCTCTCTGCACGGGGAGAAGGTGGGCCGGCCCCTGCTCAGAGGGCGCGTAGTCGGCGCCACCTGAGGACCCCAAGTGTGACCCCCCGCCATCCTCCAGCGAGCTGGAGCGGCCCCTGCAGGGCTGTGCTCGCAGGACTGGAGCCCCCCCCCCGTCGGTCCCAGCGCAGCGCCCCGGAAGGGAGGACAGGGTCTAGGGCAGGCCCGGGTGGTCAGCGCCTGCTGCCCACAGAGGCACTGTGGTTAGTGCAGCGAGAAGCAGCTGTGGCCACAAAATGCCCCCCACAAGAATGAGTCCCCACCTGGGGGCGTCCCTTTGTGGGAGAGCACCCCTGTTCTGGCCTTCCGGCAGTACCCCCAAGAAGCACCATTCAGGAGCAGCTCAGCAAAGGTCTGTAGGGAACCCCCTCACGCCTGGTGCACAGGTTGGCGCGGGCAGAGTCCTGGTCTCCAGAGCCTCCCGCCTTGTGGGCTGTAGAGGGGCAAGCAGGGACAGCAGCTGTCCGGCCTGCCCAGCAGGGAGTGGGGTTGGCCTCAGAGATAGCCGCCCAGCCTGGGGGTGGTGCAGGCATTACTTGTAACCCAGAGTTACCTTCTCTGTGGCCACAAGCAACACCTCCACCTTATCTCAGAGCTTGTCCCCAAGGGAGACATGGCATTGTCTCCAGGAGGGTAGCAGCAGCCTCCCTTCTCTTGAAAAGGTCAGCAGAGAAACAGCGTTCGCCCCCAATTCTTGGGAGGCTGATGTGGGAGGATCACCTGAACCAGGAATTTGAGGCTGCAGTGAGCTACGATCGCACCACTGCACTCCAGCTTGGGCGATAGAGTGACACTGTCTATAAAAAAAATTAAGTTCCAGCCGAGCACAGTGGCTCATACCTGTAATCCCAGCACTTTGAGAGGCTGAGGCAGGCAGATCACCAGAGGTCAGGAGTTCAAGACCAGCCTGGCCAACATGGCAAAACCCCATCTCTACTAAAAATAAAAAAATTAGCCAGGCGTGGTGGTGCATGTCTGTAATTCCAGCAACTCCAGAGCCTGACACAGGAGAATTGATTGAACCTGGGAGGTGGAGGTTGTAGTGAGCTGAGATCCTGCCATTGCACTCCAGCCTGGACGACGGACGGCAAGAGTGAGACTGTGTCTCAAAAATAAATAAAGTTCCCAGTTCTCCGCTGTTAAGGAGGGCCTTTTTCCACTGTGCCGGGCCTCAAGCTGTTAGTTACCTCCGTGGACAGACTTGTAAGATGGCCCCAGTGCCTTTCGCCTCCTGATATTGACGCCCTTGTATGACCCCTCCCCATGAGTACAGGCTGTACCTAGCGGCCTGCTTCTAACCAATGTAACATGGCAAAGGTGGTGGAATGTCACCCATGACTAGGTCACCAAAGGGTGTGACTTCAGTCTCCCCAGCACGCTCTGTCGCCTTCTTGGCATGGACACTCTGATGAAGCCAGCTGCCATGTTTGAGAGATCACATGGTGAGGACATAAGGGCGGCCTCTGGCCAACAGGAGGTAAGAACTGAGGCTCTGTGGGAAGTGAAAGTTCCTCTTCAAAGTTTCCTTCCTTGTTAAAGAATAAATCATAAGTGTGCAATAACTCTTTGCTAAGCGCTATCCTATGTAGGTGTTAGACACGCCATGCTTGCAGGCACATAGTATATTCTATGTCCTTGTACTTTAACCAAGTTTAACCAAGAGATCTGTGCTGGATGTGCTCACAGGCAGGTCCCAGCTCACAGCCTGTTCCCTTTACCTGTTTAGAAACGTTTTAAGTTATTAGCCAATCGAGTTTTAGTTTAGATTGTGAGCTCTGGTTCCAACCAACAGAGATCAGACACAGCAGTAAGGACAACTGCTTTTCCTTTGTTCATTGTACTCTCGTGGCAAGATGGCTAGCAAGAGTACCCTTCCTACAAGAAGTAAAAATTGCTACACGAATGTTCATTATGACACTGTTTACAATAGCAAAGACTTGGAACCAACCCAAATGCCCATCGATGATAGACTGCACAGGGAAAATGTGGCACATATATACCATGGAATACTATGCAGCCATAAAAAATGATGAGTTTATGTCCTTTGTAGGGACATGGATGAACCTGGAAACCATCATTCTCAGCAAACTGACACACACAAAAAAAATCAAACACCGCATGTTCTCACTCACAGGTGGGTGTTGAACAATGAGAACACGTGGACACAGGGAGGGGAGCATCACACTGGGGTCTGTCGGGGGGAAATAAGGGAGGGACAGCGGGAGGTGGGGAGTTGGGGAGAGATAGCATGGGGAGAAATACCAGATACAGGTGAAGGGGAGGAAGGCAGCAAATCACACTGCCGTGTGTGTACCTATGCAACAATCTTGCACATTCTTTGCATGTATCCCAAAACCTAAAATGCGATTTAAAAAAAAAGGAAAGAAAAAAAATTGCTTGCTGAGAGACCCTTTGTCTTGGTGCTGATTTTTCTTTGCAGCACGGAGCATCTGTTTCCAACAGGCTCTCAGTCCAGCAGCCCATGAGGAACTGGATCCTGCCAACACCATGTGAGATTGGAAGGGGACCCTTCCCTGGGCAAGCTCTCAGATGGAACAGCTGGTACTTGACTGAACTGTGGCGGAAGGCGGAGCTGGTTAAGCTGGGCCCAGATTCCTGACCCACAGAACTGTGTGACCATATGTATGACTCTACGTGTAGCTATATGACTATACATGTGTGCTGCTAAGCCACCAGGCAGGGGTGATTTGCCCCAGCAGCAGATGAGCATATCCGTTTGCTTGGGCTGCCATAATAAAGTGCCACAGACTGGGCAGCCTAAACAACAGAAATTTATCTTTCTTATGGTCCTGGATGGAGGCTAGAAGTCCGAGATCAAGGTGTAGGCAGGGTTGGTTTCTCCTGAGTCCTGTCCTTGACCTGCAGAGGGCCGCCTTTTCCCAGGTCCTCACGTGGCTGTCCCTTTGTGCGTGTCCTTGTCCTAATCTCTCTTGTAAGACATCAGATTGGATTATGGCCCACCCCAATGATCCCATTTCAGCCTCCTTACCTCCTAAAGAACCGGTCTCCGAATACGGTCCCATTCTGAGGTTCTGGGGGTTAGGACTTCAACCTGAATGAGGAACACAGTTCATCCCATGACAGTAAGTAATAGAGTTGCACCCTAACAGCTGCTCTAACCTTCTTTAAAGACCTTTTTATCTGAGCAGTTTGCCACTTAGCAAGTGTACGACAGTCTCTGCTTCCCTTCAGCTAGCTATGGCCATATAACTAAGAGAGTGCTAGCCCGGAGATCCAAGCGGAAGTCAGGAGTAGTACTTCTATCTAGAAGTACATGAAAGGAAGGGACACACCCACCTTTTTCCTGCTCCCTGGAATGGGATGTGTTGGCCGGGCTTGAGCAGCCATTTTGGATTGTGAGCATAAAAGCCACATCCTGGGGTGATGAGGGGTGGAAAGAGGGGGGCCCAGATGACTGTGTGCAGCTGTCATTCTAGCCTGGCCTGGAATTCTTTCATCTGTAAGAGAAAAATACACTTCTGTTCTGTCTGAGCTGCTGTGATTCCAGGTCATTCTGTTATGTGCCCCTAAACCACATTATTCCAACCAGTTCAGGGAGGGGATGGGTCATCGGAACTTTACATGGCCACAGCAAATCGTAACTGCTTCAGCCATGGCTGAACGAACATCATCCTGACAGGAAATCTAATGTGAAAGACTTACAGAAAGGGACTGTCAAGACAGGTTTAAAGTTCACAGAAAAGTTCGGCATCATCTAAAAAGAGTAATTAAAGATCAATACTGGGCATTCTGCCATGATGTCTCCAAGGCCCAAAAATGGGCACAGTCCCCGAACAGCAGAAACACCTCCAGTGATTTATCCTATGCAGACAGTCAGGCGTGTGTGGTCAACGATTTATTACTGCAACACTCAGGACAAAAGATGGAAAAAGATAGATGCTGGGCAGAAGGAGCCTAGTTACGTGACTCTCCCGACAGAGCCACAGGCAGCCACGAGAACCCAGTTCCAGATGAGCATGTGTGACACAGGGAAAGGCTTCTAACACGTTAGCCGATTACACACCGTGTACGGCATGATAAC